CTACTATACCCCTATTATACTCTACTCAGTTCTGCTCTACCCTGTTTCTGCTCTTCTCTACCCACCTACTCCTCTCTGCTCGACTCTACGCTAAACTGATCTACATTATCCTACTCTACTCTACCCCACCCTACTCTACCCAATCGAATCCACCTCTACTCTACTCGACTCTAGCATGCCTTCTACTCTAGTCCTTTGTATACTCTTCTCTACGCCTACTCTACTCTGCTCGTCGTTGTCGTGGTCTTCGTCGTCTTTGGTCGTTGTCGTTGTCGTCGTCGTCGTCGTTGTCGGTGTCGTCGGCCTCGTCGTCGTCGGCGTCGGCCTCGGCGTCGGCCTCGGCGTCGGCGTCGTGCGTCGTGCGTCGTGCGTCGTACGCCGTGCGTCTTGCGTCGTGCGTCGTCGTCTGCGTCGTCGTCGTCTTTGTCAGTCGTCGTTGCCGCGGGGGGGGGGGCGGATTCTCAACCACCCGGACAATTTTGCGGGGTGGGTGGGGTTCTGGAAATCCCGAATCATGTTGCGTGGCGGGGGGGAGGATCTGAATCCACCCTCTCTTCTTTGTTTTGCCACCCCCTCCCCCCGGCAGCAGCGGCGGAAAGCGCTCTTGCAGACATACGGTGTTGAAGAGTGGGACATCGTGACTGAGCAAAAGGATACTGACCAATGGCCCATGGACGAGACTGAGAGTAGTTGGTCGAATAGCCATAACGAAGACTTGGAATAGACGTCTACGCCGTCGCGGAAAAAAGCTAGAGCGGAGATAGCTTCAAACCAACAATGAGCTCGGCATTGATTTTAACGGCAGCATGCCGAAACATGATGCGAAGGACCCAGCCAGACCCGTCCACATGCTCAAGCACGAATCAGCTCAACCTCCCAGACTGGATACACCAGGCCCCAAAGGCAACCACCACCATCACAACCAAGAGGTTTCTAAGCTTCAGAATCCAACCAACAGCTCGTCATAGTCCTCGATGACTTCCAAGCTAGGTACCAATCCGCCTGGTCCGGCGCTAACCCATTGGATCTCCCCCGTTTGGCAGCAGCAAGACTTGCAGAATCAGAAATGCATCGCATCGGACAAAACCGAAACATGGCAAATATGGAATGCTAATTGTAGGAGGGGCATATGACGGGCATGCTTCGGCATCCTCTTCGGTCGGACCGCGATCGGGAATTGGTCCGTGCCACTGTGCAACGAATAAAAACAATACGCACGGCATCCCTTTACTTCAATGTCTCTCTCTCTCTCTCTCTCTCTCTCTTTCTCTCTCTATATATATATATGTGTAGATATGTTGTTTTTTTCCGCAAGATTCGCTCGCATGTGCGAAGTGCGACCCGCTTCGGACGATCCAGATAGACAAACTCATGGGGAGAGGGGGCGGTACAGGTAATACACAAAACGACATATGTGATGATGGCTGCTTGTTGCAATAACAATGACGCAACGTAAATCAATTGCGTGGTCACGGACACATAGACAGACGCACTGCTATCAACCTGAACGTCCATGGCCAATTAGAAGCTTGAAGGGTTACACTCGGACATAAGAGTGAACCGCTGAAGAAAGGACGATCACGATCTACTATTGGAGTGGGAGGATGGCCTCGATCTTAAGCGAGTGGCAACAGGAGATCACAGCATAGTGCAGAAGACAGGGACGAGGACAAGGAAGGACGACGACTGGCAAAGAGAGGGGCTCCTAAGACGACCATACCATACAGTCAAAACCTATCATGAGGACGCGTGGTAAAGACGCAAGGCCCTTGGAGGCCGAACTTGGGATATTATGGGCGGCGAAGGACCGATAAAAATTGCAGAGGCAGAGGCAGGAAGAGACCCAAAGATACCCCAGAACCAACGCGCGTCCTTTCATGTACGCCCTCCGATCCCCCGCGCCCTCGCGCCCGAGCGCCAGGCTCGTCTTGGCCGCGACTGCGGCTTCGACTGCGGCTCCGCGGGGATGAGGAATGGTGATACTTCAGATTGAGCTTGAAGCCGTCCACCTCCCATTTTCGCAAGAGAAACGACCAGGGAGAAACAAGAAACAGCAGCAGTGGGAATGGCGGAATACATGAAGAGGAGGGTGAGGGAGGGGAGGAGGGGGATGGAAACGGGGGCGGGGAAAAAGAGGGGCAAGGGCCGTAAGGTAAGCCGCTGAAACACCTCGCGCGGCCAACGCGCAAAGCGCCACATCCTAACGGCCCACCTGGACTCGCCGGGCGTGTGAAACCGCAGCAGGCTCGTGCCGACCCTGGACGAATTACCAGTACATCTGCATCGGCGTCCTGACGACGACCACGAGCACCACGACTGGGAGCGCAACGCGCGAGAGCAGCAGCGCGGGCGCCACGACGGCTGAGGGGTTCGCTTTGCTCCTCTTGTCCCTTCCCCCCCCGCCCCCTCGCGTTTTCCTCGCCATTTTTTAATTGTGGGGGGCATCAACCGCGTCCGCATGCGATCGCGCCGCCAGCTCAACCATGTACCCCCCCCGCCCCCCACATGGGGAACTTTAGGCCAACTCGACCCCGCGTTCAGGATCCCCCCCCCCCCGGCAGCTGGCGGTGCCTCGTTCAGCATCAGCTTGTGATTAACAAATCCGTGGGGGGCGCGTGTTTGAAACAAATGGTCCCCTTGCTCGGGCGAATCGCGGGGCGGCGCCCGCCAGATTGAAGATCAACAGGGCGGCGCCGGTGATTAGCGCTGGCGCCCGGCCGCCAACGAAGGGCACGGGGGGGTTGGAGGCAAAGACGAGCCAGGGCACCCTTCTTTCTGTCGAAACGATGCGGGCCTGCGGGCAAGGCGGGCTGGACGAAAGTAGGGCGCAGCAAAAGGGCGATTTGCCAAGCTGCTCACGTCCCCGATTTTTCAAGCTCCTCCTGGCGCCGAAAGCGGCCATGCGTCGAGGATTGGCCCGTCGGCGGGGCGACCGAAACCAGCTGCGCGCAGCAGGCTTTGCAACCCCCCCTTTCCTTCCCCAGCTCTCGTCCGACCCAAGCCAGGCGGATAGTCCTTCTCCACCCGTCTGTCGCCGTCGTCGCCGCCGTCCTCCGTCCTGCTTGCGCACGTTTCCAGCGGCCGCTCTCGTTCTTTTCGTCGTCGACGACGACGACGACAGGACGAGGACGAGGACGACGACGGACGGCAAACGGCAGGCGGCGATGGCGGCGACGACGACGACGACGCACTGCGGATGCCCTAAGGAGGGGGGATATTGCGCAGGCCCGCTATAGTCGACGACGACGACGACGACAAGGACGACGAAGAAAAACAACAAAATGACGACGACGACGACGACGACGGCGGCGGCGGCGGCGACGACGACGACGCCTGAGAGGGGGAACGGAAATTCGCAGCCTCGGATGTGTACGACCCTTATAACAAATTATATTCGAAAGGGAGTCGTTTTGAGGCTGTCATGCAGGAGGGTACACGATCCCCTCGGCGGCGCCAGCGACGACCCCCTGGCGCCCCGCGGGGTCTATTCATCAGCCCCGGGAAGGGGGGACAGCATTTTGTGAATCACAAACTGACATTACAGGACGCCTACACCTACGCACATTCGCCAAACTTGCACGACGCTGAAAAATGTCCCAAACAGTGCTTGCACTGAAGGGTTCTTAGCGGAAGTTGAAAAGATTTGGCAAACATGTCCCGCCGATTTTGGTGGCCGGCTGGGTTACCGGAGTCTCGGTTCCGGGTTCCCGGGTTCCGAGATATTGGTTCTGGGCCGATTTCGGTGGGTTCTGGGTTCCCGGGTTCCTGGTCGATGTTCTTATCGATCAAACCATCCACTGATTTGGGTTTTTCTCTGGTTAATAATATATATTGTCGTGGGGACTGGGGGCGGTTTCCCACTGTTCAGACACTGCCGAAGCGAAGGCTTCAGGCAGCACTGCTGCGTCTGGCAGAGGCTGGCTCGGGCGTGGGCGGCGTTGGCCCGCGCGCCAGGCGCGCTCAGCGCGCCCCGCGGGCACATCGCCACCTCGACGTCTGTCGGCGTGCGCCCTTTTCGAAATGCACGGACCGTTCGGGGATTTTCTGACCCGGGTCAACCCTGATCTGCGTCAATCAAGCCTTGCAGAATCCAGCAGAATCCTGCAAGGTTCTGCGCCCAAGCCCAGGTCAACGCGAATGATCCTGCAGGATCCTGCGCCCGGGCCTGGGTCAACGCGATTCTGGCCTCTGCAAAATCCTGCAAGATCGGGCGCTCTGGCTGACCCCCGTTTGCAGTGACCCCCGTCTCAAGCCTCCGGGACCCGTGGGCCACCGATAGTTCCGTGCGTGACGCTTCCACCACGCTTCCGAGCCACGCGCTGCTGACGCTCGCTAAAAAGTTATTGCGCCGCATCGTCTCGACGCTATTCTATCCACGGGCCGTCGTAGTTCCACCGAGCCATCGCACTTCACCCGGCGGTCGTGCGCGCAACCGTTTCGAAGTGCACGGGCCGTTGGGCCACTGATAGTTCCGCGCGCGGCGCTTCCACCACGCTTCCGAGCCACGCGCTGCCGACACTCGCAGAAAGCACGCCGCATCGTCTCGACATTAAGCCATCCACGCGACGTGTAGTTCCGACGTGCCATCGCACTTCACCTGGCGGTAGCGTGCGCAAATTGCGCGACGCTCGCCGCGTCCCCGCCAGGTGCCCCAGTGCTCGCGAACGCGCTCATCGCGCAATATGCAAGCACCTATATTGTCTCACCCAAAAAACCATGGGACACCTTTCCCCTCCATCAGCGCACCAGGCAGCCCCATGCCCAAAGTAGGCATCTTGGCCAGGCGTTCGGGGCGATCCTGAGCAGTGCGATGAGGCCGGGCGCGCCCCCCTTCAAGCGGATTCTGGATGAAAAATAAAGAATACTCCAAACATATACGAACGTTGTCAACAGTAGTAGAACAATCGTCCCCACACTATGTTTGACTATGTTTGAATACCTATACGACCACACTGCGGGTGAAAAGGAGGTTGTGGGGGAGGCCAGCAATGGCGTACCACTTGTCGTACTTGGCCGTCTGGGTGTTTATGTTCTTCAGCGTATCCACCTTCTTGTCGAGCATTTCGGTTGGCAAAACCTGGCCCCTCGTAGCGGGGCCGAGGGGAATGCGTGACCGAAGTGGGTGCGTTCGCGGCCCCCCCGCGTGCCGAGCGCAACAAAAGCCTTGAGCCGAAATCCCTGGATGGTAAGAGAGTTGAAGGGGGGACCCAACGCCTCACTCAATCGATCTCGCAATGAACCCCACTATCGCTTTCACAAACGATCTCACTCGATCGATCACACTATCGATGTCGCTCGATCGATCTCACTATCGATCCCACTCAATCGATCTCACTATCGATCTCTCTATCGATCTCACAAGCGATGTCGTTATCGGTCTCACGATCGGTGTCACTATCGATCTCACTGTCGCATTCACCACGGGACACCACGAGACAACGACGGGACACCGGCGAGACACCAGCCAGCGGGACACCAACGGGACACCGGCGGGACACCGCGCGCCACCGGTTGCCGGGCGGAGAAGCTTTTGGTCCGGCCGCGGGCCAGCCACGTCGGGACACCGGCGGGACACCAGCGGGACACCGCGCGCCACCGGTTGCCAGGCGGAGAACGTTTTGGTCCAGCCGCGGCCCAACCACAGGAGAATTTCCAATCCTCCGCCCACGCAGCTTCGCCTCGCCCGCACGCGCGGCACGAACACAGAACCGAAATCGATTTCCCGGTAGGGGGGCTCTCCGTTCCACTTCGATCTCACCCCCCAACCTCCGATTCCTCCTGTAGACGGACAGGCCCGACTTAACAATACAATCGAATCTCCTGCCATGGTGGCAAGGCAGCCACCGCGCCCGTGGAACGAACCACCAAACGATCAGTTGAAGGTGCTCGGCCTGGGGCAGGCGGCGCGGCATCTGCCAGACCTCAAACTCCAGAGAAGGGGAGGAGGAGGAGGAGGAGGAGGAGGAGGAGCAAGAGGAGGAGGGGGAGGAGAAAACAGAAGGAAGACGATAGGAACGCACACACACACACATACACACACACGCGCGCAAATCGATGCAACACGATGGCGGGGCCGGGTATCACTGGGCACGGCGTGCGCACCCCAAGCCAACGTGCAGTGGTTTTGGTTTGGCAGGGGTGGCAGGCAGGCGCGCGCGGTGTGCAAATACTGTGACAGCACCCCCGCCACCTCGGTCAAACTCCATGCCCCCCTTTCGAAGGTCCCGGGGCGGCCCGTCACCCCGCTGTGGTTTCCCCTGGAAAGCTCTCTATGGCCTCCAGTGCGGCCCAGGAAGGGCCACCAGGGCCGCCAAGACGGCTCAACATTGCCTCGACACGTGCCCACCAGCCACTAAGAAAACCCTCCAAAGGTGCCAGAAAGGCTGCCAACACGATGAAATGACTGCAAGTATGCCCCCGAGGAAGGTCAACATCACCCAAACACATATCAGCCACCGCATCTTCCGAACTCATCCGAGGACTGGACTGGAGTGGACTGGAATGGACTGAAGTAGACTGGCCTGGACTGGACTGGGGTGGACTCTACGCCACTCGACTCGACACGATTCTACAGACGTTATCCTATCAGTTCCCCTACTCTACTCTACGCTGCTCGATTCGTCGACCTACGATGCTCTTTTCTGCCCATACCGACCCTAGCCTGCTGTACTCGGCCCTACCCTAACCTACTCGACTCTACCCTGGTCTAATCTATGTAACTCTACTCCTGCCCTGCTCTGATCTTACCGCGTTCGATTCTGATATACGCCCCCCTCCTCTACTCTACTCAAACCTGCCCTACTCTACACTATAGCGGCTATAGCGTACTCTACTTTACCCGACTCTACTCTACCATCTACCCCCCTCTACTCTACTCTGCTCTACGATACCCCACACTACTCGACTGTCCCCGACCTCACTCTAAACAAATGTTCTGCACTCCTGCTCTACTCTAACCATGTTCGCTATTTGTATGTACCCCCACTGGGCCAGCTCACCGGCCGATGGTAATACATCTGTGGGACCCCACCATTCTGGTCACACCACACAATACAAACACAATGCTAATCGTTTCAAACTGCACATTGTGTCGCCCATGATGCAACATGGGTGGCAAGGATGGGACGGGGCGTACATCCCGCCCGAAAGGGCGACATGTCGCTCTCGCCTTTGCCCCTCGCACGTTATTCCAAAGAACCGGGTTCCCGCTTCGGCGCGGCGCACATTTTTTGCACGCAATTTCGTCGACGCGCGAGCGGGCGAAGATGTAAAGTGTCGCCTTGGCGCCACGCAAGCTTCGCGTGAAAGTGGTAATCCCGCCTCGACGCGGCGCCTATCGCTCACTCACCAAATTTCTGGGGGCCCGCGTGGCTGAATGACTTGTCACCCTCGCCGAAACTCCGGTCGCATTTCGCTCGGAATCGGTGTCCCGCAAGGGCGCGGCGCAATGCTCGTTCGCAGGATCGCGCGATAACGACAGCGACAGCGGCGAGCGGGCGAAATGCCGACTTCGCCCAAACGCGCAGCTTGTGAGTGAAAGCGGCCCATGCAGTGTCAGCGCGGCGCATGTTTCGTTTCCGCCGCGCCCAGTGGTTTTGCCGTTCCCGCCCCCGCGCGGCACACGTAGCCTTGCCTCCGCAAAATCGTCGGGAGCGGGGCCGTGCGCGAGCGCATTCCGTCTGCGACGTGAGAGCGCGCTTCCAATCCCAGTACCAAGCTGCGCCACAATTGCTTCGTATGCTGCGGGAGGGAAGGTGGGTGTAGACAGGGCCCCCTGACTCGCTCGACCTGTCAAGAGAGACCCCGATCCTTGTGATTCCTTTGTATACACACCCGTTCGGCCACCTAGCCGGCCGATGCCAACCCAGTCTGAGCGGTCGCATCCGACCTGCCAGAACAACAATGCAAAACCACTGTTTTTTCGCACCAACATGGACATGATAGCGAACGTTTTTCCCCATATCCAAAAGAAGGTATTCTTTTGATTCTCCGACCGCGCCAGACCACCCCTCCCCTCCTCCCTCTCTGCACCAGACAATGATGATGATTGTCATGATGATGACCATGGTATGGTGAGAGCATCATGTGAATATGATGGTGAACGTGAATGATGCATGAGTATAATGATGATGAAGATGGTGATGATGATGATGATGATGATGATGATGATGATGATGATGATGATGATGATGGTGATGACAATGACAATGACGATGACGATCCTGATGCTGATGCTGATGCTGCTGCTGATCATGATGATGATGATGATGATGATGATGATGATGTTGATGATGATGATGATGATGATGATGATGATGATGATGATGATGATGATGATGATGATGATGATGACGATGAGCAGATGATGAGGATGTCTCGAGCGGTTTGCTGGTTTCAGCACTCCTAAAGGGGGGCCGCCAGGGGTATTGCACGGCCTCCGTTCGCGCCCAAATGGCGGGGATGTCTTAGGCGGTTTGCCTGTTTTGGTCCTCAACATCCTCCGCTTTCGGAGCAGATTCTGAGGATGCCTCAGGCGGTTTGCTGGTGTTAGTACTCCTAAAGGGGGTGCCACCAGGGGTATTGCACGGCCTCCGTTCGCGCTCAAATGGCGGGGATGTCTCAAGCGGTTTGCCTGTTTTGGTCCTCAACATCCTCCGCTTTCGGAGCAGATTCTGAGGATGTCTCAGGCGAGGCGCTGGCTTTCGCACCCCAGGGGGGCCTGATTTCGAAGATGTCTCAAGCGGTTTGCGTGTTTGGGTGGTCAGACTCGTCTGCTGTCAAAGCAGATTCTGAGGATGTATATGGCGAGGCGCTGATTTCCGCACTCCCAGAAGGCCCAGATTGCGAGGATGTCCTAGACTCACTTATGCTCAAACTCACTCGTGCACAGGCTCACTCGTACTCAGACTCGCACTCATCATACTCATATCCAGACTCACTCACACCCAGACCTACGCACATTCAGACTCACTCACACTTAGACCCACTCACCCTCAGACTCATTCGCCGTCAGACTCACTCGTGCTCAGACCCACTCAGGGCCAGTTTCACATCCATCATACTCATACTCAGACGCACTCACATTCAAATTTACTCACGCTCAGACTCACTCACACTCAGACCCACCCACCCTCATATTCACTCGTAGTTAACTTCACTCGTACTCAGACCCATTCAGACTTAGACTCGTACTCACTATACTCATACTCAGACTCACTGGCTTTCGCACCCCAGGGGGGGGGGGCAGATTGCGAGGATGTCCCAGACTCACTTGTGCTCAGACTCGTACTCATCATACTCATACTCAGACTCAGTCACACCCAGTCCATGCAAATAGATGCACATATGGGGAGCTCCACGCAGTGAATAATTGATTCGGCGTTTCGACATTGGGAGGAAGGGGGGGGGAGAGAGGGGGGGTCTGGCTCCAGGCCTGTGCTTAGTGCGACTGTTTGCAAGAGTGCTGCCTGCCTCTGGGGGACTTCACCCACTCGAAACAGGCGCCAAACAAATAGCCAAGATCTACTCCATGGTGGGGGGACGGGGAGGGGGAGCCCGCGCCGATCGGCAAAACAGCAGAAAAAAAACGATCACATGCCACCCATGTTGCAAAACGCGTGGAAAGAACGGAACGCGGCGCACATCCCGCGCGAAAGGCCGAAATGCCGCTCTCGCTTCGGCGCCTCGCCCATCTTTCTGAAGCATTGAGCGCTCCCGCAGGGGCGCGGCGCACAGCTCTCGCAGCTCGCAATTTGTCGTCGACGCGCCATGGGGTGGCCGTGTCGTTCTCGCCCCAGGCGACTCGCAGATGTCACCCGAGATTGTCGCTCCCGCCTGGACGCGGCGCGTGCTGTCCACTTGCCAATGTTGTGTGTGGGGGCCCGCGCGATTGGGCGGTTTGTCGCCCTTGCTCAAGCTCCGTGTTCATCCCAATCGGAAATGACGTCCCTGGGCTTCGGCGCGTGGTTCCGTGCGCCGGAGCAACTGAAAACGACAGCGGCATCGGGCCGTGTGAGAGGGGGCGAAATGGTGACCTGGCCAAAGCGCCGCGCACTTTGCAAGTGAAAATGGCAATGCTGTGTCAGAGCGCCGCATGTTTCGTCTTAGCCGCGCCAACACCAGAAGTGTCACCGCCGCCGAACCTGCGCGGGCCGCGCAACTTTCTCTTGGCCGAATCATCGGAAGCAGAGCCGCGGGCAAGCGCCTTCCGTTTGCGAGGTGAGAACGTGTTCCAATGGTGTGCGACAGCTGCTCCTCATGGGCACGGGAGTGGAGGTGGGAGCAGGCAGGGCCCGCAGACACGCTCGACCTGGCCATCTTGACTCCCACTCCTGCTGCTCCTCTGCTCTATGCATATATATATATGTGTAAAGTATGCTCTACTTTGCTTAACTCTACGCTGCTCTGATATACTTTACCTTCTCACCGACTCCACTCTACCGAGTACCCTGTTCTACTCGGTTCTATTCTGCACTACTCTAACCTACCTGACCCTCACCTGCTCAACTCTACTCTGCTCTACTCCTGCTCCACTCCCGCTCTGTACCCCTCTAATCTACCATCATCCACTCTACAGTCGAGGCCCGTCCACAAGAAACCTTCCACAAGAAACCCAAACCTGAGACTCCATGACGTCCATGCATGTTTGGGGTGGGAACGTCACGCTGTCCATCGCAACACCATCGAAACCCAAGAAACCCAGGGCACCCTGGAGGCAAGCGGGGTGCTTCTTGGCATGGGCCCCCACTGTGTCGCTCAGCGGCTCAACCACCCGCCCGTGCCCGCCCGCTCTGCGCTTGCCCCCCCCCACAAGAGGGCGCGACGCCCCGTTGTTGGGGCAGTCGCGCCGGCTCAATGTTAAGCTTATGTTGCTCACATCGTATTTAAAGACCACATCCCAGAAATAATATCGAGCACTCGGAAAAGTGTCGAAACAGTGTCGAAACAGTGTCGAACGAGTGCCTCCTAGGGCCCGACACATCAAAACCCTCGAGTTTCCATACTTTCTGGGTGCTCGAAATTCTTTCTGGTGATTCAGGCTAAGCTTCGGGCGAGCCCACCTGCCCCCGTTTCCCTTCCCTTGAACTCTTTAGGTATTATAGCCCCAGCGGGGCCGCGTGCCTGCTCCGATAGAAAACAAAATCTGGCGTGCCTGCGCGGGCGCCTGCGCCTGCACCTTACTATTTGACGTGCCCGAGGTGCCTGCGGGGGCCTGCGCCGATAAGAACCTGTGCCCGCGGCGCCTGCGCTAACAGCACGATAACGAAGAGATACCCGCGGCTGGGCGATTATCACCCTTTGCTAGAGAACTCCCTCTGGAGCTTCGGCCTAGCCCGCCCCCAAGATAAGGTGGGAAAACAAGGGCGTTCCAACCGAGATGGCTCCAGACGTCCCGGGTGGCCCAAGATGGCCTCCAGGATGTCTCCAAGACGCCCCCAAGATGGCCAGGATGACCCAAGATGGCCTCCAGGACGGTTCCGAGACGCCTCCAAGACAGACAAAATGGCCCAGAGACGGCGCACGATGTCCCCTGACGACCCAAAGAGGCCACGCGGGCTGCAAGAGGACTTCCAGGAGGCCAGAACAGTTGCTGTTCCATAGGTGTTTCAATTATCCTAGCGGTCTCGCCTTCCGGGCTTCCGACGCTCCAAGACGGGCGCATGGCCCTCCAAGATCGCCCCAAGAGGCCCCCAAGACGCCCCCAGAACTGCCCCGGAGACCTCCCAAACGGCCCGAAAACGCCCACAGAGACGACTGCCCAGGAAGGGCCCAAGACGGCCTCCGAAGGCCAGGAGGCCCCCGAGAGGTCCCCAAGAGGTCCCAAAGAGGCCCCCAAGAGGCCCCCTCTTCTTCTTCCTCCTCCTTCGCCTTCTCGGACCTCTCCTCCTGTCTCGTCCTCTCCCCGGTGCTCCCCCCAAGGGGTCCACAATGGCTGGGGGCAACACATCGTCCAATAGCTTAGCCTACCTTCGGCCAAACGTCTCGCCGCATGGGCAATTCCAAAAGGCAGGGGGCGGCGGTGATTCGCCGTCAGTGGAGGCCAGTCCACAAGAAACCCAACCCTGAGACCCCAGGACGTCCATGGATTTTGGGTGTGGGAACGTCGCGCCGTCCACAGCAGAACCATCGACACCCACGAAACCAGGGCACCCTGGAGGCAGGCGGGGTGCTTCTTGGCATGGGCCCCCGCCGTGTGCGACAGATGTCGGCCAGCGTGGCCACCCAGCGCAGGGGGCGCCCACGGGCGCCGTCGAGGCGGCACGGGCGGCATCCCGGCGAGACCCACCCAGCGCACGGGGCGCCCACGGGCGCCCGCGAGGCGGCACTCGCGGCTTCTCGCCGCAACCTCGGCGGGCCCACAGCGCACGGGCCGCCTACGAGCGCCAACGAGGCGGCACGGGCGGCAACCTGGCGCATCCTCGACGGACCCGCCCACTTACTTCAGAAACCGAAGCGCGAGGCCGTAACGGTGCAAGCACTGTTTGGGAAATACTACTCTTTCTATCTGCCACGCTATCCCTTTTCGCTGCCTCAGCATGTTGGAGTTCCCAACAAAACAGAACAATGCGACCATGGAAGGAGGGAAGCGAGACCTGGAGCACGGAATTGCAGTGGTCTTTGAATATCCGTGCGGCGTCCTTGTGCGGGAACACCAGCACCGCAAAGCCGCCTGGGCTGATGCAAAGCGCGACCGAACGGCGTGCTGATTAGAGACAGCCCAGGTAGACTGAATAATCCCACTGATTCCCACCCTGGCGTTCGGAGAGGAAAGCCAAAGGAAACTGCACATACTACAACAGGTGAAGGACCAAGCGGTCGCGCCGATAGAGGATATTGAAACCAGAATTTGCGAGCACAATCATGGCGTGTCAGATCACGTGAACTGTTCGCGCGCGACGTTTCGTCGAAAGGAGCCACAACGCTCTGATGACGAAGATTTCTCCATTCGCGCTGTCTCGCGTCTCGCATGGCGAGCTCTGAAGAAAAACCACTGCAGTAGACATACCTGGCCCCGATGATATGTGCAATCCCCGAGAGGTTTTCAGAAGGCGGAGGGGCTTCTCAGAAGGCTGGAGGGTTTCTGAGAGGTTTTCTGTCTTCGGGGGAGGCCTAGTAAACTTCTCAGAGGGTCGGGGGGGGCTTCCGAGCCTTCTGAGAAGGCCCGCCCCTTCTCACTTCCCCCCCTCGCTCGCCGCCGAATCTCTTGGGGGCTTCTGGGCCCTCTCGAGAGCCTCTTGGTGGCCCAGGAGGGCACAAAGGGGGGCCTTCCGAGCCTTCTGAGAAGGCTCGCTCCTTCTCACCTCCCCCCATGGGCTCGCCGCCGATCGCCACGACCCAAGAGCCCCAAAATGGAGGGAGGGAAGGTCTTATTCCAGACCTGCACTTCGGTCGGGCCTGTCCCCCTGCAGGCGGATCTTGGAGGAAGAATAAAACATAGTCAACAACATGCGCAAGAATAGTCGATACATTTTCGAAACACGTCCCCATCATATGTTTGGACTATGTTTGAATATTATCCTGTAGAGGGACATGCCCGACTTAAGACTAAATGCGTACGCGCCCAACCACGTACATGAATACGGCCCCCAGTCCGCGAGACCAGCCTCGTAATAAGAACGTTCGCGCAATGCGTGCGTTCGACACCAGCGTGGATTCATGTATTGTGTATCTCTGCGGGAGGTTTGGGGGGAGGGGCCTCTGGGAGGTGGATGTGAGGTATTCGAGGAGACCTCTCCTCTGGAGGAGACCTCTAGGAGATCTCCTCTTCCGCCACCCTGGTGTCTTTCACCCTTGAGACCCAAGATAACCCGGAGACGGCCCCAGAGCACCCTTAAACATCATTCCCTCATTGGTTCCTCCAGCGGCTGAGAGAACACACAGTCCGCAAGCGTGGCCGCACTTCGGCTTGCCATTTCACGACATACGCATTTCCAATGTGTTGCTCGACCGTTTTCTTTTGGTCGGCATATTGCCTAAGGCAGGCGGCGGCGGTGGGCGTCTTAGATACTGACTGAAACAAAAAATACACACTCACATGCGATGACTACCAACCTCGCTCTCGATACACATTTGGAGTGCACATCACGCGTATATAAGCCGTCTGCTTGGGATTCCCTTTGGGACGTTGCTAGCAGGGGATGCCGGAAACTCGCTGTTGCGACACACTGGCAGGACGCAGCTGAGACTGTCGTTTAGGCGATGATCCAGCCGAGAATGGCAGGCAAGCTTGCCCGACGCAGACGCCAACTGCTCCTGTGCCGCGCAATTCCTAAATGGTACCTACTTGGAACGATAAAACTCAGCCGCGCACAACGCCTGCACCACTCAATTGCAACGCCTGCCGCAACCCTGAGTGCACGCCGAAGAAACACTGACCTGATCTGGACACACGGCACTACCCTGGATACAACTGCGGGGTCAATGACGAATCTGGGCCACAAGCTCACCCACAATCCGTGCTGGAACTCGCAGGTTGCATGATGCCTGATGCCGAACACACGGCACCTCAGACTCACCCAGCACCTGCAGAAAACACTCAAGGCCACTCTTAGCCCCTTGCCGAGGCAAATCACAGTCTGCAAAAGGCTGTGCATGCAGCAACCGTAAAATACCGCCAGCACGAACCTATACAGCCGAAAGAACTTGCACTCGTTAGTGCGACGATGCAACTAACTTATGACGGCTGCTGTTTCTGTTGTTCTCCCGATCCTCCTCTTCATACCCGTCCTTGCCCTCATCCTTGCCTCCCCTCCTGCCCCCTCCACCCGTCCTGTGGCTCCTCTTCCTGTGGCGCCGGACGCACTGCGGCGGTGCCAGGGACGCACTGGGGAGGGGGGAGCGTTACATTATGTTATGTGGGGGCGGGGGGCCGAGGGCAGGAAGGGGCATAACGCGCGTTATGGTCCAGAGGCTGAAGAAGACGGCCCCCTTCAGCCCAGGGCCGTCGTTGAAGTGGCGGTCGCAAAAGGGTGTCGGAGGTGGGGTCGGGGCTGGCGTCGGAGCCAGCCTGTCACGGAATTTATCTCGAGCATGTCACTGTTTCCGACCTGGGCCATCGTTGGAGCGGCAGTCTGAAGTGGAGCCCGGGCCTCCCCCTTCCCCGTCATCTCCCTCCTCCGCAGCCCACACTTGGCCCACAACAGTGTGCACGGGTGCCCCAAACGGAAGATTCACAGCAGCGCTGGGCCCCCTCTTCCTCCCTCCTCCTGGTGCTCCTCCTGCTCTCCCTCCTCCCCCTCCTGCTCGGCTCGCCCTCCTCCTCCTCCTCCTCCTCCTCCTCCTCTTCCGCGAGTACACAAAAAGCCAAACACATCGATCCTTCTACTGCTCCTGAAGTGACCGGGACCAAGTCTCCCAGGGGGGCGTAGCCAGGCCAAGTCTGCGAGGGGGAGCAACAACCTGTGGCCACGGTCGCCTGGAAGATCTCGGAAAGGCAGGTTGACAGCGACACCCGATCAAGTATAATCCCAAGCAGCCCTGCGGGCTCAGGCTCTGAGATTAGACGATTCCGGCGGGTAGGGAGGGGGGGACACGACCGGTTCTCCTCGTGCACACACCCGTCGCGCACACCCTACGTATTGCAAGAAGAGTGGTCCACCCACGCGTGCTTGCACGCATCCCTGTTTTTCTGATTAGACGTGACATGACGTTGACGATCAACTCAGGAGGTCAAGCACCGATGGCATCGGTTGAATTGCCAATTGATGATCGGATATGGCATGCGGCACAAATGTTGGTCCAGTCCCAAGCCACGGAACTTCTGGGTGGCGCGGTCGTAGGCAAACCTCCCCTCCCCTTACGCGTTAGACGATCCAAAGATCCGCGCCACTCACTCGAGAGGAGCAAAGATGAAACAATGTGAAAATCCCTGTGGACAGGAACGGGACGAGGCGGTCAGAAGGGAGTCAAGAGGGAGGAGAGGAAGGAGGGGATTCTTTTTTTCGGAAGGCCACATGTCATGATCATGGGAGTTATGCGCAGTCAGAGGTATTTCGATTCACGCCACCAAGTGGACCCCGACGAACTGACATGGGTGCCTCTGCGTGCGGAATCCTGCGTGTCGAACTCAATATGGAACTAGGTGTGGGCATTTACGTGTGCGGGACTTTTCAGCGCGGGACCCTGTGCGCTTCGGTCCAAGCAGCCAGAGCCAAAAAAGATCCAGGCACGCGCAGGGACAAGGGCAGGCCCCATGCCCTGGTGAGCCTGTTTTCCACCACCACCCCCATAAGTTGGAGGGGGGGTGGAGGAGGAGGAGGAGGAGGAGGAGGAGGAGGAGGAGGAGGAGGAGGAGGACCACCTCCCCTCCAACTTACGGTGGTGGTGGTGGTGGAAAACACGCCCATCATGCCCACATGGCCCAATCGGCCAAAATCATAACGGTCCAAACACTCACGGCGGCGAGGGCGGAAGGCAGGTCAGAACGGCACAAGCAACCAAGGACCAAGACTGTATAGCGGTCCAGACACCCACGCAGCGTGCGCAGAACAGGGCCAGGCCCGTCAGCAAAAGCCAGCAAAGGATGCGGAAAGGGAGGCCATAGCTGTCCAAACGGGGCCATGGCGGTCCACGCAAAAATGAAAGGCCCCGCAGCACAGGGCCAGCTACTAAACAGGCGAGCAAAAGACCCACTGTGCACTTTTGGAGAAGCGATCAACACCGTAGACATCCGAAATACCTTGCCCACGGCACGGAGAAGGCCGCGCTGCCCCGGCGATACCAGCCAGCACGCTGCCCAAAAACAGGGAGGAGTACGGCAGTACGGCACGGAGCACGGACAGAAATTAACCGGAAGAATCGGAGTGGGGAGGAACACGGGTGGAACACCGAGACAGCGGGGAGAGGAGGGAGTAGCGTGTTTGTTTCTCCGCTCGGCACCACGCGCCTCCGACAAATCGCTGCCCGACAATCCCGAAGGCTGCTATCAAGGCAGGCCCAAGCATCTCCCTCCCCCAATTCCGAAACCGCGCAGCTAGAAACATTCTCGATCTCGTGCAGTTGGGTTTGGCGGAAGATCGATGTTGGGGATCATCGTGTCGGAGCGGTCCTTTGGGAGTGCGACCAGGAGGCTTTACCAAACTCCTCACTGGACACCGTCGCGTGGCCACAGGCTCGCCTCTGCGAATATGTTGTTCGCGCAACTCCATGAAACTGGAAATATAGTAAGTACACAGTTTGATCGAGAAGTGATCGACAAGCCATGTGCTGGATCGGAAACATAAACATTGACATGAACATGAAAACTCGGACATCCACGCGGATTCCTCGCATCGGCGCCGGGCCCCCTGGCGGCGCCTCCGGCTCCGCACCAGGCACGCTCCGCGCGACAGGGAGGGGCGTCAGCGCCGATCCGAAAGATCCTCGCGGACCTCCGATTATTTATGCTTGTGCCACTGTTTGATCTCCTATGGATACACGCGAGCGGCGAACAAAAGCGAGTCTTCCGCGAGGTGACACAACGACCTTACGCGACAGGTTACGCGGGCCGCCAGCGTGACACGCTGCAGTGAAGACGAGGGCGCTTACGCGCGACCTTACGCGAAGAGTTTACAATGAAGGCCCGTCCACAAGAAACCTTCAACAAGAAACTTAACCCTGAGACCCCAGGACGTCCATTGATTTTCGTGTGGGACCGTCACGCTGTCCATAGCGACGCCATCGGAATCCAAACAATCCAGAGCACCCTAGAGGCAAAAAGGGTTTTTTTTCGCATGGGTCCCCACTGTACGCGCGAATGCCGGCGCAATCGAGCTCGTTTTCTTTCGTTGCTCGCATGTGGATGGCCACCGTGCCTGGCCGTGCGAAGGCTGGGCGCCGGAGAAACATCTTTAGCCACATGCGTAGCCCGCTCTCGCCCAGACTGGCCGCGCCATGCAGCATGTCCCTCCCTGCGCGCATCGGCCTGTCACGCGACTGCGAGCTCGGTGGTTGGTGTTCCCAGGATCAACAATTGCACTGACGGTTCCTGTCTCGAGTTCGATGTACAATGAACGTTGCTTTTTTCTCGCCGCTGCTTGTCTTCCTCAGGCCCCCCTCTCCTCAGGCCTCTACGTCATACTTCCTGGCGGCCGCGAGGCGACCTCTTGCTTCTTCTGGCCTTGCCCTGTGTCGACCTGCGCCTCACACTTGCCAGTCGGTCCCCGCTTGGCTTCCTGTCTCTCCCATGAGTTGCACCTCGTATACTGCACTCCATCCTTTCTTCTTGGTAAACAAACTTTGGCTCAGACCCAGACTTACCAATACCCGTTGGTTCTGTTCTTTGTTCGCATGCATTACGCACGGTGGTTCCGCCGACGTATACCGTTGTCGAATCACGCAATGTGCGTGCGCGCGTCGACATGTCAAACGCGTGTTGCAAAACAGTATCGCGTAAAATCACGAATCCACGCGAAACAAACGAGCGCGCCCATCCCCCCAAGCGCACATCACGCCAAGAACCTACACCGCCACATGTTTGCCAAACGCTGACTACATATAGTTCGTCACACATGCGGGGCCACATAAAACCATGCGCTCTGCTGTCAACTGGCACGACGCATGCCACGCGCGCGCGAGCGCCCCTGCGCGCGCCTTTCCAACAAAACACGGGCTCCCATATGCAACTAAAACATCTCGACCTTCTGCGCGACATGGGTCAGAATTTACTTCGGCATCGCCAGCGCCCGCCCGACCGAACCGCGATCTGCATTAGGAAGGGCCGCGCGTCATTGCGCCTGTTTCGGATGGCCAGCTGAGGCAATCCGGCGGTAATTGCACTCGCTGCACCGCGCCCGCAAGTCGCGGGCCCCGGAGGCCCCAATATTAAATACCGCGAAAACTCTCGAAGGCCACAAGACGTCGGATCTAGTTCCCAGTCTTCGCTTGGCACTCCCAGGCGCTACGGGGGGCCCCCGTGCGAGGGCCCCTGGAAGGCTCAAAATTGAAGCGAAGATGCCGCGCCCCCACGCGCCGTGAGACACCGCCCACGGAGGCCGCCCTGGGATTGTCGTTGTGTTTGTTCTTTCCTCGCGCGGGCGTCGGAACGCGCGGGCGCGGGAAGGGTGGCCCATCAGCTCGGCCGTCTGAGCTCGAGGCGCATTCTCGCAGCAAGCGGGAAAGCGGCCAAACAGCCACCCAAAGCATGCATGCATAATTGCCCCCATTGGCCGGCTGCTTCTCCACCCAGCCGGCGCCGCGCGCGCGTGCGCGGCGGGAACTGCGAGGCTGGCTAGCGAAAGTTTGCTCATTCGGCGCTTCGGCATTGGGCGGGAGGGGGGGGGGCGTCTGCCTCCAGACCTCTGCCTACTGCGACCGCCTGCAACGGCGCGCCCTACGGGGGAGGCCCCGCCAGCTCGAAGCAGGCGCCAACGACAGCCGAGATCTACTCGACGGGGGGGGGGGCGCGATGGCCCGCGCCGATCGGCGAAACAACGATTAAGAGAACGGCGCGACGCCTCGCTGCTCGCCGCCCTCTGCCTCGTCGAAATCGACCTCGCCCTCGGCGGCAGCGCCCTGGCGCTGCTGGTGCTCGGAGACGAGGTCGCCCGCGTTGCCCTCAACTTCGGAAATATCCATCTCGCCCGCGCCCTTTCCTGCGCGCCAGCGCAGGAGCGCCTCGCGCCGGAACATCGCGGCGAAATGTTCTGCAGCTCGCGCGAACGCCTCTTGAATCAAGGCCGAGCGAGATGGAGGCGCGCACACTGGAACCAACGCGATCGCGCCGAGCCGCGGCGCCGAGAACTCAAGCGGATAAGAACCTGGTTCAGCGCTCGGGCGATTGGACCGGCTACTGCCGAAAATCCCGATTAACGCCCCATAGAGGATGACCAGCCACGCGCCGGCCTCCTCCTCGCAGATGACGCTGTTGGCCGCCCGCCGCTGTAGACGCCGAATAAAATGAGCGCGGGAATTCAGCGTGCACGAGAACATCGCCATGGTCTTCGTCGGCGCGGGGGCGCAAAACCCCGGACTCTAATCCCCGCGCCCCCGGCGCACTCGGCGCCCGGAGCGGCTTCGACGCGATCTCCTCGCAGGCGCGCGCGTGCGCTGCCCAGCTGCTGTCTGCCATCGCGTGACCATTGACGTGAAGCGCCCGCGCGCAGGTCTTCCGATTCCCCGCCCAGACGGGCGGCGAAGGCGAACCCGGCCCCGCGGCGAACATCTACCGCGGAAACATTGGGAACCGCACCCGCGCCGAAAGCTTGCCTTCCTGCGCGCCTAGGTTCTGGATTCGCACGATGTCCCCGATCGCCTGCCTCTCATGGGGCATCCCGAGAGCCGGGTCCTCCGCGTCGACGCTCGTCCAGATGCCTCCGCCCCCCATTCGTCCTCCTTCTCCTGCGTAGAGCCAGGCTCTGGCGGCGCAACGTCGCCCCCGCGATTCCGGCCAGCCGGCCCCAGCCAGCTGCTGCCTCTTCTGGCCGTCGCCGCCTGCCTGGCGCGCCGCCGCGGCCAGGTTCCCCCTCCGCCTCTTCCGCCGCCGCCGCGCCGATCTGGCGGCGGCAGAGTCGGGGGCGCCACGCGCTGGACCATCGCTGCGCTGCGTCGCCGCCGTGACCGAGGAGGCCGCGGAAGCAGCGGCGGCGGCGACGTTCCGGCGCGGGGCGCCAGCCTGCGCAGCTGCGCGAACGGCCGCCTCCAAGAGGGAAGCCGCCATCGCGTCGCCGCTGGATTCGCCGGCGAGAACCACCGCCATCTCCAATGTGATGTCGTTCGGGATCTGCTCACGGATGCCGCGATGTCGCTCGGGAGCCCCTCGCCGAAAATAACGCGCATTCTCGTTTTGCACGTTCGGCATCTGCTCGGGGCCCCCGCCCGCGAGCGGCGCGAAGCCCGTCGTGAAGAAGTGCGCGGTGGGAACGGATTGACGTTCACGGTGAGCGTCCTCAAATCGCAATTGAGCTGGCCTGGGAAGCGCAAGCGCGCGGTCGCGCCGCAGGCGGCGGCGCTCGCGAGGTGGGTTAGACCCCCGTGCGTCGGAGCATCAATTTCAACGTCCTGGAGCATCTGTCATAGATCGCCTCGTCGACCAACAAAGAAGCATTCGTCTGCGTTCTCCACGAGGTGGCGGAGAAACGAAACGGCGCCGCACGGCTCCGCGACGGCGCTGGGCACTTTTGGACGGGGATGATAGACCAAAGTTTCGACGACGCGATCCGCGCATTCCTCGCGGACCTTCGAGATCAGCAGGGTTCCCGTCCCAGCCGAAGCGCGTCCGCGCGGGGCCTATGCCGCATTCGCTCTGCTGCCCTGGTGAAGTAACACGAAACCACAGCCATTGGGGATACAGAAAGCAACATCACCCCAACAGACACCGACCACCGTCTCGCCCAAGGCGCGACCGCGACGACGCGGAAGTACCCCAGGGGCGGCGCGTTGCCCCATTACGGGGGGCATCCCGCCATGCGCAGTAGCCAAGTCACAGGACAGACGCCAGACTCCAGGCATGCAGTGCCATGGGAGAACAGCACAAGGACAGCCAGCACAACGTGAAACAAACAAAAAAGTCAGCGCCTGGCACGAGTCCACAACCATATGGGAGAACAATATGGACATCGACCTGAGCCGGTTCACCACGGAGACTCCGAAGAGTAAAATGTAGCTGAAGAAAACGAGGTGGACAATGAAACCGGACGCGCGCCAAAGCAAGCAAGCAACGAGGCCGACGAAGAGGACCGCACAATCGACCACAAACTGCGCGAAATCGGCCACGCGCTGCTTGAAACCGACCACTTACTGCGTGAAACCGACGACAAACTGCATGACAGCACCCACTAAATGCGCGAAGTCGACCACGAACTACTTGAAATCGACAACGAAATGCGCGATAACGTCCACAAGTTGCGTGACATCGACCACAACTGCGTGAAGTCGACCACGCGCACCCGAAATCTACAACAAGTTGCGCGAAATCGATTACATATTCCGCGAAATCAGCCACAAGCTGCATGAAATCGACCACAAACTGCGAGACAACGACTACAAACTGCGCGAAATCCACCATAGACTGCGCGAAATCGACAACAAGTTGCGTGACATGAGCCATAAACTTCGTGATATCGACGACGCATCCATTACAAACTGCGTGAGATCGACTACGGACTGCACGCCATGAGTGACAAAATTAGCGAAATCAGCCACAAACTCTGCGAAATTAACTACAAGCGCTCCCGGCATGCAGTTTCAAGGAAGAACAATACAAGGCACGTCAATGCAAAATGAAATCGGCGCGGCCCTGGCGAAGGTGCCCGAGCTCACCTCTGGCGACGTTTACGCTTTGCCTGCGGCGTCCCGCGATTGGACACGTCACGGCACTCATGGCAGCGCCATCCCGCTTTGCATCCTCCTTTCGACAAGTAGCGGGAGCAGACCCATTCGCAACGACAAGCATGCACATCGTGGTCGGGCGCGGCAGTGGTCGAACATGCTCGCAGAAAGCTCGGACGGGGCCGTCGTCTGGGCCTCCGGAGCTGGACGCGGCTGCGCTGGTGCTGGGGCTCTCGTCTGGGAGCTCCAACGACTCTTCTGACTCCGCTCCGCCTCGGCCAGGGGTTCGTCACTGTCGTCCCTGCCGTACAAACGATGTACATCTGCCATGACAGATTCCGCCTCGAGGGTGTTGCGCTCGCGCTCCGCTGCGACGTCCTCCTGATTCCACGACACGAGATGCGACCACTGATCTGGCCGGTGACCATAGATCTTGTCCACGTCGAAGGCAACGAGAGTATCAGGCGTGGGACCATCGTCAAACCACACGACGTTGACAAGATCCAAGGCGATGGCCTCGGCTTCGTAGTCATCGTCTTTGGGGTGGATGCGTGAATCATTGCGGCGAACGTTGACCGCGACCTGGCGATTAGGCGCGTGGCCAATTACCTACCCAAGCCTCCCATTGAACGTCCGGCCTCTCTGGCTCGTGAGACCTACTATTTCCACGACCTCTCCAAGCAGCATGCCGCGGTCCATGCGAGCCCCCCTGGTCACATTTCCTTGCGAAAAAAACCTTTGCAAGAGCCCACCACCCGGCATAGTGCCATTCCCAATCGCTGCATGAATGGGGTGATTGTGCTGAGAATGCGTCAGGCATGCAACACAAGAGAATACAGTCCCCAAAGAGGCGTAAAGCCGTGATGACTGATGCCCTAAATGCGAACGTCGACAAGTATTCAGCAGCAAGTGCGTCAAAAGCCTGCCTCGCCACCAGCGCCTTCGTCACCAAGATCCATGCCGCGTTCATCCGAGATCACCTCCCAACACTTCGCCTGCACGTCCCAAGAGTATACACCACCACCACCACCTCCATTCCCCCTCCCTCCTCCGCCCTCCTCTTCCCCTCGCTATTCCAGGAAGGGGGAGGGGGAAGGGGAGGTGGTGGTGGTGTATATGTTTGAGCCCTGTATCGTCCCAATCTGGTTCCCGCACTGGCCGCCCGGGATGTGCACGAGCTCACGCATTGCGCCAAGCTCCAGATGCCTGTTCGGCAGGGGAGTGCAGATCGAGTGGTGCCTGACCTTCGCCTCGAGCCAAAATGGCCACGGGCCGTCCTGGGAGAGTCTTGGGGGCCTCCTCGTGGGCCGTCTTCGAAGGCCTGGGGGCCAGCCCAACAGGTCCAAACTCCAAGCCGTTTAAACATTTGGGCGACGATCAAAAACGGGGGTCATTTTCACCGACGTTGGCGCGTAAACTGCCCGCGTAAGGTCTCGCGTAAACGCCCCCGTCACCAATGTGGCGTGCCGCGAGGGCGGCCCGCGAAAGCTACCGCGTACGGTCGCAATACCATCTCGCGTAAGACCCGTTTCTGATCGTCGCTCACTCGATTGGCATGACTGCGCGTTAGTTACCAAATTCACGGTCTTGAGGCCCCACACGGCTCTCAAGATCGCCCCCAGGCAGTTCCCAAGGCCCCCAACAAGGGCTGGAGAGGCCCCCAGTACGGCCCCAAGAGGGGAACTCGAACTGCAGCTTGAGCCCTCCAAGTTGGCACCCAGGACCGTCAGCAGCCCGCAAGAAGGCCTTGTGGCGCGCCCGTAAGCCCCGACGATGCGTCCGGATGCGCTGAGATGCCCCCCCCCCCCAGACGCCTCCAAATACGCACCGTAGCATCCATGATGCCTCTTGCCTACGACCTAGGCAGGGCGATCTGGCCGAATGTCCATACGTCTGGCACCCTGTTAAGTCGACACACAAAGTGTTCGCAAATTGAGCTGTCTGGGATCAGCGTGTCATCATCATGCTTTTCCCACACCCGTACCTCTTACCTCGACACTCGGGAGCACCCCCCAACCCCCTCCACGCCTCCCTTCCCCGGGCCCTCCCGCCCGTCTCCCCACCACTCACCCGCCGTCCTCCCCCGCCGCCCTCTCCTACACGTCGGTCGGAAGAAGTGGGCAGAAACATGAAGTAGGAAGGCGGATAAAGTAGGTTGGGTTCAGGCCCTCTCAGAGAATAACAAAGCGCAGCAAAAGCATGCCGGTGCTTGAAGAGTAAGATAGCACCAGAAGTAGATGAAGATCTGGACATCCAGAAATACCAACTTTCAAGACCCGACGGGCACGCTTGGGGGAAGGGGGCGGCAGCCTCCGCGCTGCACGAGCCCCACCCGCGGGGCGGCCCTGTGGGCGGGACGAGCGGGGGCGGTGGCCCGGGCGCACCCCGCGCCCGAAGCCGACGGTCGCAACGGATGGTGCCCCGGCGGCCTGCGCCGCGCAGCGCCAGCTGGGTCGGCGGCCGCCGTCACGGCGCCCAAGCACGGTGCGCAGGAGGCCGTTGGGCACCCGAGGGCGGAGAGAGCGGGAGGAGAAGAAGGCGGCAGGCGGCGTCGGCAGACAAGGCAAGAGGAGGCGAGGGGAACAGCGCGGGGCTGTGGCCTCACGAGCGCATGCTGCGTGATGCCGTCGGCGTCGCTGATGGCACAGAACCCACAGAACTGGGTGGCGCAGAGTAGTAGGATCAGGATCCAGGAGCGGCAGCAGCAGGGGGCATGATGTGGGAGGGCAACGAGGACGAGGAGGGGGATGCGGGATGATGTGGATAGGGGAAGACGACAGCGACGATGAGGGCGACGAGAACGGAGGCGACGACGACGAGGAGGACGAGGAGGACGACGACGACAATGACGACGACTACGGCGATTGCGGCGCCGACGACGATGATGGCGGCGCCGACGACGACGATAGCGGCGCCGACGATGACGGCAACAACGAGGGGGCCGCGGGCCGCGATGACGGCGGCGACGCGGACGAGAACGACAAGGAGCCCCCCTCCTCCTGGGAACTGCACGCCGCTCGGCATCGAGCATCCCGCCGCCACGGCCTGCTCCCAGGCCACCGACTCGAGCCGCTCCTCGCTGACGCCTGGGCGGGGTGGCGGCACTCGATAGCTGGGGAGATCGGAGGGCGGAGGGGGGGAGGAGAGAGGAGGACGAGTGGGGCCGCCCCTCATCCCCGCCTCCTCCTCCTCCTCCTCCTCCTCCTCCTCCTCCGCCTCCTTCTCCTCCTCCTACCCCTAGCGGGCAAACAACAATTCCTCCTCCTCCTCCTCCTCCTCCTCCTCCTCCTCCTCCTCCTCTCCTCCTCCTCCCCTCCCTCCTCCTCCCTCTCCTCCTCCTCCTCCTCCTCCTCCTCCTCCTCCTCCTCCTCCTCCTCCCTCCCTCCTCTCTCTCCTCCTCCTCCTCCTCCTCCTCCCTCCTCCCTCCTCCTCCTCCTCCTCCTCCTCCTCCTCCTCCTCCTCCTCCTCCTCCTCCTCCTCATACCTCCTCCTCCTCTCCTCCTCCTTCCTCCTCCTCTCCTCATCCTCATCCTCATCATCATCATCATCATCATCATCATCATCATCATCATCATCATCATCATCATCATCAGCATCATCATCATCATCATCATCATCATCATCATCATCATCATCATCATCATCATCATCATCATCATCATCATCATCATCATCATCATCCTCGTCATCATCCTCGTCATCGTCATCATCACCATCATCATCATCATCATCAGCATCATCATCATCATCAGCAGCAGCATCATCATCAGCAGCAGCAACAACATCAGCATCAGCAGCAGCAGGATCACCCGCAGCATCAGCATCAGCATCAGCATCAGCATCAGCATCATCATCATCATCATCATCATCATCATCATCATCATCATCATCATCATCATCATCATCATCATCAACGTCAGCATCATCATCAGCATCATCATCATCATCATCATCAGCACCATCAGCATCATCATCAGCATCATCATCATCATCATCAGCATCAGCATCATCATCATCATCCCCTCCTCCATGTCCTTCTTCTCCTGTTCCTCCCTCCCTCCTCCTCCTTCTTCTCCTCCTCCTCCTGCTCCTCCTCCTCCGCTCCCCTCTTCCCGACTGCTCATAAGACGACGGGATCGGTTAGGAGGTCCAGGTCCGCCGTGACACGCGTCCGCAGATAGAGACAAACCAGCACAATGGGAAGGGATGAGTGAGAAGGGTATGGTGTCAGAAAATGGAGCGAGCGCACCTAGCTTGGCTCCTTCCTCTCTTCCTCTCCCATCTCCTCGGGGGGGGGGGAGGAGGAGGATGGCTGGACCAGCCTCCGATAACCGTAGGCACCATGCTGGAGCGAGCAGCGTCAGGCATTACTACTTTGTTGTCCCATGCCAGTAGGCTCCCCCGCTGTAGCCAATCTTACCACAACCTCACTCGCGACGATCAATAGAAGGAGGGGGAGGAGGTGGAGGAGGAGGAGGAGGAGGAGGTGGGATGCGAGAGGTGAGACGATGCGGAGAGAGGGGGAGGAGGTTGAGGAGGAACGGAGGACTGGTACTACGATGAAGAGGTCCAGGACGACAGGGAGATCACAAGCAAGGCTGAGACGATCTGCCATGCTGTCCTGGCGCGCCCTCCCTGCCCATGACAGGACACGGTGAACGTTGAGAAACTGCAGCCTTGGAAGCTCGGACGCGGGAAACTATATTGGGCCAAATACATCCGCGCGAAAGAGGTGCTCGAGGTGCTCCAAAAGTCTGGGCACTGCAAGCACAAACGGCAAAACTACGCGCACAGCTCCGTGCACGAGTTGCACGAAGACGCTTGTCCAATCTGCTACTTGTGGCCCTGGGCACCTGCGCAGAGCAACTTGACGGACACAGCCGACCGTTTCAAGCTCAGGGATACTGGAACCGACAGAAAGGTAATCGACTCCGTCGTGCCCTGTTCCTGCACACCTCCCACTGAAAAGAAGTTTCAGGTAGAGACGGGGGGCGGAGGGACGATGGGGGACAGGGATCCAGGAACTGGGAATCATTGATCAGGGAAGGAACAAATACATGGAGGAGACGACGACGGGATGGTCATGACAACAGGTGTGACCACAATGGAGAGTGGGAGTAGGGAAAGACACATAACCGCGAAGGGTCTTTAGAAGTCCCCCCTAAATAGGGGGTAACTAATTCTTTTTCCGGCGGCCCGATTGAAAGACTGGGGTCTCACCAATAGGGGGTAACTAAGTATTGGTTTCCGCGGCACCCGCCGCGCAACGACGACGACGACGACAGCTACGACAGCTACGACTACGAGAAGGAGGAGGAGGAGCAGGAGGAGGAAGAGGAAGGAAAGACGGAGGAAGAGGAGGAGGAAAAGGAGGAGGAGGAGGAGGCTTTAGGACCGGTTTTAGGATGATGCGCAAGGGGAGGGGGGGGAGATGATCAGCAGCAGCTGCATCAACGGAGCACAAGGTCGCAGCCCGCAGCTCAAACGCACGCGACCTGGCGCGTGTTGCACTAAGGTGTAGGGATGGTCGCCACGAGCGCGGGCCCAGCCGCAACGACGAGCCTCTCCGGCGGCTCCCCGGGCCACGTCCCCTGCCACGCGGATCAGGTGATCGCAGAATGCTTGTCGACGGCCCGGATACGGCTCACTGCGACATCCAGAAGCGCGTGCATGCCGCGCACAGTGTCCGCCTGCAACTACTCTTCGGCCCACCGCGATTGCCTGCAAATGCGCCGCAATCGGCGACCGGCCTTCGCAGGTTCCAGGTCTCCCATGTGGCTTAGCTCAGGACCCATACAAAAACCTACTTGACCACTCGCAATACTGCGCCACAGGTCTGCAGCCTCGCAAGTTTCGAAGGCAACCGCGGCTCTGCGGAGACGACGCAGGCCACGAGCCACTGTCTCGTCTTCCACCAGGAGCAGCACGCCTTGCACAAGTAGGCCCGCACGCTGCATCGCAGAACAGACCAGCGTAGACTCCGGCCCGATCGACCGTCTGATCTAGCACTGTGGAGCGCCCCAGACTGCCGGGCTCCCGTCGACGCTGGCAAGGCCCAAAGTAGCATAGCAATGGCGGGAATCGCCCAAATGGGCCGCCGTGCCGTCGGTGGCCATCGGTCCAGCGAGCCGCGGGGGACCCGGCTGCTGTCACCATGCGGCTGGGCGCCCTCTCTAGAAGCCTCCTCGGTGGGGTCCGAGCAGATGGGGTCGGAAGATTGTACCGCATCGCCGACGCATCGGCGCGACGTCGGCGACGCTTCGGCGCCGTCGGCGTGGAGAAAATCGGGCTTTACATAGAGCCGCATCGCCGATGCCTCGCCGATGCGGCGCAATCCTCCGACCCCGTCTACGCCCTCGGACCCAAGCGGGGAGTCCTGAACTCCTTGGCCTGGAACGTGCCCCGCTGGAGCGCGGGTGGCCTCTGCGGGCGCCAGTCTGCGGCAGAGAACTGCGGCGGGGACGCGCTGCACGCAGCAATCGGCGAGTTCGGGCATCAGGGCAGCCGCCGCGCGCTCGGCCTGCCTCGCAGGGCGCGCGAAGGAGCGGTTCAACTCGTGCACGCTCGGCGCCCCGCATCGGCCGCAACAATCGTCGACCAGTCTTGCCTAGCAACCCGCGTTAGCGTGCTGGTGGCGTAGGTGCGCACGAACCGCAGGGTCCCTGCCTAGCGCGACTCGGCTTTCTTCAAATGGCGCCGTGCGACGGTCAAGCCAGCCCCCCGATCGACGCCAACAATGTCGTTCTGCCGCGCTTGAACAGCTTGACTGCATGGTGCGCGCCAAGCTGCTTCCGCCGCCTCCGCGTCAACGACTTCCGTGGGCTCTGCTGTCCGGTCGAGCGAAGCGGCGTCTGGGAGGCGCCACAGAGCGGCCCCTGTGGCCTCCACCCTGGGTCACACACAGCCTGGAGGACGGCCACCATGGGGCCCTGGACCCAGGCGGACGTGAAGCGGCCTTGCGAACACCTCGCAACCGCGGTCGCCGCCAGAGCGTCTGCGAGCTCTCCGCGCCAGACACGGCACGACCATTGACGGGAATCAGCCGGCGGGGGGGGCCCGCCGCGACCACCAGGGAAGTCGTCGGCCACCAGTTGCACCTCACACATGTGGCGGACCTCGTGCACGGCGTGCGCAGGGGCGGCAACTGTGCACTGCAATACGCCGCCAGCCAAGCCGCATCCAGCGACCAGGCACTGTGCAGAAGTGGGTGCACATTCGAGGAGGAGGAGGAGGAGGAGGAGGAGAAGGCGGAGGAGGAGAAGGAGGAGGAGCAGGCGGATGAGCAGGAGGAAGAAGAGAAGGGTGAGCAAGGAGGAGAAGGATCAGCAGCAGCTGGAGCAGAAGCAGAAGAAGCAGGAATATCAGTTTGGAGCAGGGGACGGCGGAGCAGGAAAACGAAGGGGGCGGCAAGGACGAGGAATGAATCGGAGAAAGAACTGTGGCACGCGCTGGGGCGAGAGCACCACTCTGAGCACGGGAGCAAAGCGCCGACTGTGCTGCGAAAGCGGCAACCATATCAGACATACTGCGCGATGGCCCTCCAAGCGAAGGCGACGATTACCCTCCGAGCGAAACAACACATCATGGACAATGAGCTGAAGCCCCCTGTGTGAGAGGAAAGCAATCTTGGGTCGGGCATATCCCCCTACAGGCGGATCTTGGACGAACAATAAAGAAAACCTCAAATAAAAACATATCGAACAATTCATAGAAAAATCATCCCCGGGCTATTTTTTAAACATGTTTGTATTTCCCTCCTGAAGAGGGGCATGCCCGAATTCAAGGCCATCTGCTGGAGCGGCGTCGGCACCAGCGTGCAGCACCAGGGGGAGAGAGACGAGTGAGATGAACAGCTGGCAACTGTGATCGGCGGTGGACAAACCTCTCGTTCGTGAACCCCCCTTGAGTGAAAACGGCCTAGGACCGAAACCGACGGACCTGGACCCGCACAAATGACGGCCGCGACGCCCTCTCGCGAACCGAAAACGGCCAAATCGCTAATCGACGTATCAACCTCCGATGTGATGGGAGAGGGGGAGACTTGGGTCGGGCATGTGCCCCTACAGGCAGATTTTGAACGAAAAATCAAACATACTCAAACATACCATAAGCATAATAGACATAATTATCCCCAGACTGGTTGTTTTTATTATCTTTAAAATATTCCTCCTGTAGAGGGACGTGCCCGATTAAGGGGGGGACGGGGGAGGGGGAGAATGGGGGGAGGCGAGCGGAGGCAGAAGCCCCGAGCAGGCCAAGCTGCAGGGGGGAAGAAGGGCCCCGACGCCGCGGTCGAACCGCCCCCACGGCCTGGCAGAAGAGGGGGGGGAGGTAGGGGGGGGGGCTCCAGGGGCAGGGCCTGCTCGCGAGGCAGCGGCCAGAGAGCCCGGAGGGGCAGCCCCCCCCCCCGGTCGGGGGCGCCTGCCGCGGGGTCCTCGGGCAGCCCCTCGGCCAGCACGGTCTCGCTGGTCTCGCGGTCTCGCCGCCGCTGCCGCTCCCGGAAGCGCTCGAGCTCCCGCTCGTGCTCGCGCTCCTCGTGGGGGGGCCGGCTGCCCCCCCCCCCCCCACGCGGCGTGGTGACCGCACCGCGTGGTGAGCGGAGGCCTCCCAGATGGGGTCCGAGTGCAGTCGGACCCGGGGCAGGGGAACATCCCTCAAGAACATGAGGCCCTCCGTCGGCCAAAGCAAACAGAACATCCAAGGGTACCCGCCCCCAAGATGCACAAAAGCATCCAACCAACACGAAGAACACTAGGGCACACTCCCCGAGCCGACCGCGATCTTATACCTCGGTCTGACTGTAGAGGCCTCCAGGATGGGGTCCGAGTAGATGGGGCCGGAGAATTGCACCGCATCGGCGATGCATCGGCGGTGCATCGGCGATGCATCGGCCACGTCACGTCGGCGATGCCTCGGCGACGTCGACATGGAAGGAATCGGGCTCCACATCGAGCCGCAATCCTCCGACACCGTGTACTCTCGGACCCCATCTGGGAGGTCCTTCTGACCCGGGTCAATCCAGACCCGGGTCAACTAGGCCTTGCAAAATACTGCAAGATCCTGCACCCAAACCCAGGTCAATGCGAAGGATCCTGCAACATCCTGCAGAATCCTGCACCCAAACCCGGGTCAATGCGAACCTGGCCCTGCAGGATCCTGCAAGATCTGGCGTTCTGGCTGACTCCCGTTTGCGTTGACCCCCGTCTCAAGGCTCCCGATAGAGTGATCCAGTGGGCATCCGGAGTCACCGCACGGCTTTGGGACCCGGTCCGATCTCCGACGACGTCTCGGGCGACCGGGGCCTGCGAGGCCCAAACGGCGTGCGGTTGCAGACCGCGCGGTGAGCTCCCTTGGGATGTCGAGGTCACCGCGCGGCCCGTCACCGCACGGCTTTGGACCCCCGAGGGGTGGAGAGACGCGGGGGGGAAGTAACCAGCCTCAAACTTATCCCTGTCCCCAAGATGGGCGAGCAAAAAGCGAGGACAATCTTAGGGATAGGCCCTCAGAAACCGAAGGAATCCTTAAGATCGGCATCGAGGTGAGGTGATGCCAAACATAGGGATCGGGATATGTTTCAAACTGGCCAGCTGCGCGTGTCGAACGGAAGAGGGCTGGGGCCCCACTGCATGCGAACCCGGCCAAGTACGGTGCAGAGGGCCGAGGAAGCGCAGGGCGAGCGAGGGCCGAGGAGTTGGCAGGGTGTAGGTTTAGGTCGGGCATGTCCCCCCCAAGGGCGGATCTTGGAGGAAAAATAAAACGTATCTTCCTCCTGTAGAGGGACACGCCCGACTTAGGTGTAGGTGTTGTGAACACCGAGAGGGGGGGCAGCGGGAGAGGGAGGGGGACGGGCGAGCCCAGACCCGGCGCGCTCAACCTTGGGCACCGGATGACTAGGCGGCGACGCCCGAACGCTACGCCCCCACCGACCAGTGATGCCCCGGAATCGATGGGAGGCGGAGGGTAGGCTGCGGACTTCGCCACGCGTTCGACGTATTCCGAGCCTCACCCCAGCCGCCCCTCGAGTTGCCCGACTGATTCTCCAGTCGATGGGAAGGGGGGTAGGCTTCGGACTTCGCCACGCGTTCGACACATTCCGAGCCTCACCCCAGCCACCCCTCGAGTTGCCCGACTGATTTTCCTGAGTCGATAAGAGGCGGGGGGTGGGCTGCGGATTTCGCCACTCGTTCGACGCTGGGCGGGTAGGATTCGGATTTCGCCACGCGTTCGACGCATTCCGACCCTTACCCCCCGCCGCCCCTCGAGTTGCCCGAGGTCGGAGCTCGGCGAAGATAGGGTTCGGATTTCGCCGCCTGGTTGCGTGATCGACGACCCAACAGAAAACCATGACTGCCCATGTTGGGCACACATTGGCAGTTTTCTGTCGCGACATTGTTAATCAAGCGCCACGTCTACATCAAAAACCGCAGCGGGGACTGGGAAGAGGTACGCCACTCCTTGTCAAAAACTTGCCTCGATTTTGATTCGCCGCGATCGTCGCGGCGACCTCTCAAACCTACAATTCTGCGGCAACACCTGGGACCTCCCATGATGACCACCTTGTGGACTTTTGCAATTCGACGCTGCTGGACGCTGGCATGATGCCCGTGGATTTTGAGCCGGCGCCATCTCATCGATGACCAGACGTCAATCGACGCCACTGCGCTCTGAAAACGGAATGACGCGGGTGCACGGGGCTCCCGCAATGTGCTACCAAAGGAGCCTGCCGCGGGCTCCGGACACGAGCCCCGCGAAAACGTTCGGCGACTCCAAAGGGTGTACGGAAGGTTCGTGTCGTGATGACCCCGGCGCTGGTTTCTGACACCGCGTGGATCGTTCAACCGTGAAGGGTCGGCGGCGGCTTTTCGATTGCCAGATCGCTCCATGGTGGCCGATTCGGGGCCACCGGCGGCGATGAACCTTGAACGCCCGCGGCGGGGTCTCTGCCGCGTCAGCACGACACGAACCTACCGTAGTTCCCAAAGTTTTTTCTTCCCCCCCTGGAAAGCGTTAGGGTGACTTACAGCACGTTCTGCAATGAAACGATACTCGTCCAGCATCCAACAGATCCGCTCCCCCTCGTGGGGGCTATAACGCACCCATTGGATACAAACTAAAATTCGATAGCGGCCGTGATTTAAAGCGACCGGCCAGGTAGACGCCACCACTACCATGGAGGAGGAGGAGGAGGAGGAGGAGGAGGAGGAGGAGGGGGAGGAATTTTAAACACGCGTGCTCTGGCATGCACGTGGGTGCCACTGGTGTCGGCACCCTGGCCGAGCGCGCGGCAGCACGCTCGCGGCAGGGTGGGCCAGCGGCCCCAGCGCGCATCCTCTCCGGCGGCACGAGCTTGGAGCTGGAGGAGCAGCCTGATGGACGGCCGCTGCCGCTCCTCCTCTCGTCGCTCCTCCAGGGACCGCTCGTGCTGCGGCCCCCTGGGCGCGCGGGAGTGCTCGGGCGTCTCTCGCCGCGCAGGGGGCCGCTGCGGTCTAACCCTTCGCCGCGCTGGGGTCTGCGGTGGCCTAACCCCTCGCCGCGCCGGGGTCCACTGTGGCCTATCCCCCTCGCCACGCTGGGGACCGCCGTGGCCTAACCCCTCGCCGCGCCTGGGCGCGGCGCGGCCTGGCCCCTCGCCGCGCTGGGGGCTGCTGCGGCCTAACCCCTCGCCGCGCTGGGGGGCGCCCTCCTGCTCGTTCTGGTGGTGCCCGATGCTGTGCTCCTCAACGTCGGACTGCTGGTGGTACTCGATGCAGCCCTCCTCATCTTCGAAGGGGTCGTGATCTTCGACGTCCACGGTGCTGCGTCTACTGGCGGAGGAAGCGCACCCCTCTGCCCCCCTTCTGCGCCGCTGCCTGGGCTGCTGTGGGGCTGGCCCCCGTCGCGGTCGTCTGCGGGCGGCGTCGCTCCCAGGGCCTTGTCGGCCATCTGCCTGCGCTTCTCTGCCTCGTGCGGTTCCTGCAGCTGGAGCTGCCTGCGCGCTGCTCCGCTGTTGAGCCAAGCCGAGCGGCAGATCTCCTCCGCCACTCTGCGCTGGCTGCGCAGGCGGCTCGGGCCTAGGAGTCAAGTCAAGTCACCCCGCTCGCACGAGGGCGGGCCCATAAAGGGCGCGAGGGAAAAATCAAAAGCCAGTCACTATTCAGGCCTGGTGCGCAAAGGAAGCATCGCGCCTGCTCGCGTCGACGTGCAGAAGTCCAGGAAATCTTATGTCATTTCCACCCATGCTGAGTAACCTTGCGCAGCTTCTTGCCACGGTCCGATGTGGTTCGCCTGGCAGACCGAGGATAGCTTCGCGTCCCATGACACAAGAAGACGACCCTGTGAGCGTGACCCCGGCGGCGTCCAATGCAAGGCTCTCTGCGCCCACCGACCAGGAGGTAAACCCGCAACGTATGCTGCCAGATCCCACTACTTTTTCATGGACTCTCTCGACCTTTGCGAAGACCATGTTCCGCCAATGCTTGTCTGAGCTTTTCGTGCCATAAGCGCAGAGTCTCATGCCACGGTTGGGGCCAATCCACGCCTGCAGGCGGGCCAACGACCTGCCGCATCAGACGCCGGAATGCAACGTCTACCCCGCGCAGTGAATCGCTGCGCGGCTTCCAGACACCAGCTCCGAAACGCGCCACTGACGTCGCGGCGCGGTTGAAAAACTCAAGCCGGGCAGCGAGAGAAACATTCCAGTCGCATAGATTGCCCCTGTTTGCAAAGAAAGCTTTGCTTTCGGATGTCAGATGATACTCCGCGTCCAAATTGCGCGTTCCAGAACCACCCGCGGACAGCATGCATCCCAACCACTTGTGGGCGGAACTCCGGGGGAGGACTTGGATTGTTGCGCCGGCCCGCGTGGCAATTTCTTGTGGAGGTTGCGCCTCTGTTGTCATCGCCGCCGTCTTGGCCGCATTCAGAACCAACCCAACTTTGGCCAATTCGTCGACCAGTGCGCCCAGCTGCAATTTGGCTTCGCCCGCTGATTTGGCAAACAGTAATATGTCATCGGCAATGCGTAAGTCTATGAGCGGCCTCAAACCGTCGCCCAAATCAAATCCAAGATGCGAAATGCGAGCTCTCCACGCACGCATGGCCCACTCCAAGACAGCTGTGAAAAGAACCGGGCTGAGCACGCACCCTTGGCGAACGCCAGCGTTGATCGGAAATGCCTGGCTTCTGGCCCAATCGCCCAAGACTTGCCCTTCCTGGTCACGGCACAGACGGTGCATTGTCCAAATCAGATGGTCGCTGACGCCGAGCTGCCGCAGAGCCTCACACAACGCAGTCCAATATACTCGGTCGAACGCTTTTGATAAGTCCAAACTCACGATCCAGAGCGGAATATTCGCCGCCAAAGTCTTCTCAATGACAAGAGTTGCTGTCAGAAGATGCTCCTCCAGACGCCAATTAGATCTGAAGCCGTGCTCGACGCGCCCCAGCAACACGTATGCAAACAACTTGTAGAGAAGACGAATGCTCGCTACAGGTCGAAAATATCCGACTGCCTTGGCGTGCGTCCTCTTTACCAACATGATGAAGAACGCCTTG